TATCTTGTCAAATTCACGAATTGATTTTAACTGAAGTTGATTTATATTTTGATATTTTTCGACTATACATCAAAATTTTTTATATTGTTTGTCTTCTTCAGAAGCCAATAAATTTTGTACATCAATGAAAATGATCCTCATCAAATTAGACAAGATAAACATAAATATTCAAAACAAAAAAAAAACAACTAATAAAAATATGAACCAATATTTAATATTTTCTAAAACCTAAATTTATGAACGAAAGAAGTCGTTTGTTTACTGTTATAGGTCAATATGACATAATCGGAAAAATGAACAAACCATCTTTTATTATAAATAATACAAGATGTATCAAGTAAAAACAACCAGTATTTCTTTGCTATATAGAAGATACTTATTGGTATGTGAAACAAAAGAAATATTTCGATTTTTTTGTCTTTACTACTTTTGCAGAAGTTAATCTAGGTTTCTTATTATAAGGTCTAAAAACTTGATAAAAACTATGTGGTTTCTTTCAAATTTAGTATTAAAATTTTATTGATGTAGGCTTGAAAAAATGTCAAAATCAAACTCAGTTGACAATCAAAAGAATCGCATACTAGAGAACAACATCTGTGTTAAAACTTATCTAATTTTAATGAACTTGTTTATGTTTGAAACTTGATTAAAGTGTTTCTATTCTAATTAGATTATTCAATATTTAACCATCTTTAAACATGACGCTTATGAAACGCATTTTTCTGAATTTTTAATTCGAAAACTCCAGTTTCTTTGTGAACTTCTCATCCCCTATACTGATAAGTGTAACACTAGACAAACCTTCGATACACGTCATACTTCGAAGTGCGATAGTGATTAGTGCTAACTCGTGTAAATCAAAATACCGACAAATTAAACTTCTCTACTCTTTTATTCCACTTAAGGAGTGTTGCTTTATTGTTACTTTTCTTTATAATAAAGGATAAATATAAATAAAATATTCATGTTTATTAAAAAAAAGATAGAATAAATAATACAGAAACTTTTTCATCTATGAGAATATAAGCTTTAATTTTTACTAAGTACTTCACAAAAAATTATGATACCATAGCTAGTAATGAAGTATACAGAAAAGTCTGCTGCACATGTTTTTTCATGTATCAACTTGCTTCTTAATCAGATCGCATGTTGAAGTGATCTTGGTGATAAGAAAAAATATTCATTAACATATCCTGCTGTTATATCAGGTATTTGTCTATTTATGTATTATAAAAATAAACCTTTTTGTATTTTTCAAAGTAAACAATTCATCTATCTTTATTTTATATAACGATTTTAGTTAACTATTTAACTTTACTTTTTAACAATAGAGATAAAGAATTCATGTGTGTGTATTTTATGAATACAAGGATTATATTTAAAGTAACATCACTAGTTCAACGGTATAAAAAGCCAATAGTCTTCTATTATAGAAATTCCAATCGCTTTTCCAAAAATGGTCTCGTATTGCGAGTTAGTCTAAAAAGACATGAGGATTTTTGAAGAATTTTTCTGATATTTACATAGGAGTTCTTAGCGATCATGTGTCGAAATACCAGACATATTACTTGGAAAGCCCGTTGCTAGAAAAAAACGTAATTTAAATTACAAAAAAAAATGGTTGTTTATTCAAAACCTAGATTTTTAGGTGCTAAACCTTGCATATTTGTAGAATTACCGAAAAACATTTAAGAAAATCCATGGCCTGCTATAACGTCTTGTGAAATTTTTCTTGTGAATAGCCTTCGTATATAGGATGACCTTCTATTCTTGGAAGGCAGGATTTAAATTAAAATTGACTGTTTTTAATTAAGTCGATGCAAGTTGGATCTTCAGGTTCAAAAGGCAACTTTTGATTTGTTTTTCTTAATAAAACGTTTTTTTCCTGTTCATAAACTTCTTGTTCTTCTTGAATATTAAATAAATGAACTGAAATTGAATCAAAATAATGTCAGTATTATCGATTTTTGATCGAAGAAATCGATTAGAATTCGATTTTTCAAAATTTTTTGCCTTGCCCTGGCCTGTGACGGTCTCTACGACTGATTGATGAAGTTCTAACAACTCGTAATTAATTTTTCTTTCTTTGAGATAGAAAAAAAGAAAACAAAAGGTTGCTTCGAATGATTACCGTAGTTTTTAAGATATATTTATTCATAGATTGATGACGATTTGAACCAACTTTATCAATGCGAGAGCAAGGCTTCTTGACTACAAAGCACTTTTTGGAACAAAATAGCAGCTAAAGAACTCTTTATGAAATATACTGAGCATAAAAAGATTGTTGCATTAATTATCAACATTTAGTACCATGATAAGATTATAAATACAATAAAGCAGAAGCAACATCTTAATTCAATGAAAATTAATGTTTAAGGGTGTGGGTGTGGGTGTGGGTAGGTGTGGTTGTGATTGTTAATCTTCTGATAGTTCACATCCACACAACACACCCACACCCCACGCTTACACCCACGCTTACACCCACCCACACCCTACTTCACTTCCGTTATCAGAGAAGCTGAAGCTGCGGAGAATAAATGCCACAGGAACTATTCTGGCCGATCTGGTTGGTATTCCACCACACTTTGCTTTGAAAGAGAAAATGGAACGAGGTGACCACAAGTCAACTGTCATATCCAACACTATTATCTTCAAATGGATGGATACGAAGCATGTTTTTCTAGCGTCAAACGACTGTGAAAATCCTGAAATCGTTAGAATCTCTCGACAGTTGAAAAATAAACAGCTCATTGAAATTAACTGTCCGAAAGCAATAAAGGATTACAACAAGTTTACACATGGAGTTGATTGATTCAATCAAATAATATCCTGCTACACCTTTGATCGAAAGTCTAGAAGGAACTGGCTTAAGCTTTTCATTTTCTTCTTCAATGCATCTTTAGCTAATTCATTTATCTGCTACAATCAATTAGGTCAGAATAAATTATCATACTTAAATTATTTGGTTTCCGTGGCTAAGTCTCTATGTTCTGGCGCTGAGCGGACAAATCTTGGACGACCTCCTTCAAACAAGAAGCATAAATTAGCATCACCACCATCTGCTGATCAGTTGGATGGTGGGATGCATTTGCCTGTCAAGGGAGCCTGGAGGAGATGCGCTTATTGTAGCACAAAAGAAGTGCAAGTTCGATCAATCATCGAATTCTCTACTTGCAAACTGGCTTTTTGTGTAACAGACGAGAAAAATTGTTTCTTTGAATACCATAAAGTTTTTATGGAAAAATTTTGAGTCAGATTCAATAAACTGATAAAAAGAACCAATTTTTGATGAAAAAAATATTTCGTCCTGAAAGGGTTAAACAAAAATTGACATCGCAGGTCAAGAATGGTAACTTTCGATATTTGCTCTTCAGTATTTTCACAAATCAACGCTTTTATGCATTCGATAACTTTTCTTTTTCATCCGTTTTATTTCTATCTCTTACTCCTTTGAAGTCAGGCCTCGTTTATTTTCTGTTCAAAACTTTCACTTTCGACAGTTAGTAGCTGCCATTCATTCAAAATCTGATTCTGTCAAAAATGTTTACAATGCTCTTTAATGTTTTAATTAACCTTTCTGAAAAGGTTTATTTCTTAATTAAAGAGTTCCTTGGTTCAAAAAACTCCTCTAAATAAGAATAATATTTCCTATTTTGCTTAAGGAAAATGAGGAAAAGGCAGTTCCAGTTCGTTTCTCGGAGTATTATGTATAACAGCAATCATTGTAAGACATAAGATTAATATAAAGTTTTAGGTATATTTTGAGAAATTATTAGTGTCAAATATGTGGAGTTAAAGGAGTCACAGAACTCAACACTCATGAAAAACAACAGTTTTCATATGTACCAATACCTTGATTCAAAGAATAAAAGCAAAAATAAAGGATATCTCGAGATAAATTTTAAGATTTCCGTATCTACTTGACGGACTGACAGCTTCAGTTTTCTACACAGTTCAAATCACACTTCCAGTTTTAAAGATTTTTGAAAAGTCGGTGTTGGTTTTATTCTCGGTCTCAATTTTGCAAGAACTATCGACGTGTATTTCATTATTTTGATGAAAATGAATTGAATCGATAATTGAAAATCACATCACAGATTGAAGCAACGTTGTAAAACTAATGAATTTGAAAAAATCAGAAACAGTGGTCAGTCTGGTTTCGCCTGTTGGCAGCTCTGTCTCAGACATCATCTGTTCATATTTGTGAAGCAGTTTTTTTTATATCAAATTCAGAGATAGCATTGCATGATATTATTTCATGTTTTTCATTCTTGTTTCCATGATGATCATCGTTGGTAATAATATTAACTGTAGTGAAAAGCATTCCTCTTCGTGCAACTAACTGAGTATGGACTGATAAATAATAATATTTGCGTTGATACACCGAATAGTAATGCTCTCTATTCTTATGTCTGGTTATTTCACTTCTACTAAATGTGTAGATTTCGCTCATCTTACTAGTCATTTGATGAGAATTTACAACATTGAATTGACTCTCCCGCCACCAACTATTATTTTACCTATAACAGGTTGTAGTTGAGTTACGTTAATAGTCATTAAATACAAATTCTTTTTAAAAAGGACAATACGCTATCGTACATTCAACACAAGTCATGAGTAATATAAACATAGCAAAAGATTACATATGAAAATAGGTTACATATAAAACGATAATTATAATTACTTTATATCATATGGCATTAGTGACATCTACAGACGAAATCAGTTTCAATACAAATCAATGTAACGTGGTTTGGTTTATCTTTATGCTAATAAGAATCAAGAAAGACTCATAATACAATGAACCATCTATTTCAAAATATGCAGATAAGACTTGTTTAAACCTTATCTTTATTATCTTCATGCGTTACATTGCCTCGTTTTCTCAATATTGACGTGTCATATTACAGTGACTCACCTTTGAATCATTCTTCGCTTCATGCTATATAAAATGAGGCATTTTCTGTATTATTTACACACTACGAGTCTAATTGTGAACTATGCTTCGTATCAAGCAGGAAATAGCATCGTCGACGGCATCAGACAAAATAGTTCCTCTGAAACAAGTTAGTGTTGATGCAAAAATTCGCTCATTTGCCGCCGATGTAATAGTTACACAAGTATTTCAAAACGATGAATCTGTACCAGTTGAAGCTGTTTATTGGTAAAAAAGTATCTTTCTCTTTTGTATATTTCATAATACATATGATCGTTATAGTTTTCCTATCGAAGAGAATGCAGCTATTTATGGCTTCGTAGCTCGCATAGATGATGAACGTGAAATTGTTGCTCAAATCAAGGAGAAAAAAACAGCACAGCAAGAATATACACAAGCTCTTGCTCAAGGTCATGGTGCTTATCTATTAGAACAAGATGAAGCTTCAAATGACATATTTATCATTAGTGTAGGAGCGTATGTTATTGTTTGTTTTTTTCTTTGTTGAATATTCTAAACGTTGTATAATATTTGATTCTAGTTTAAAACCCGGTAGTCAATGTCAAGTTACAATTAGTTATGTGAGTGAACTCGATTTATTGCATACGATCAAAAAGCCGACGATTCGTTTCGTTGTTCCTACTACAATCGCTCCTCGTTACTCTCCTTCACATAAAAGTATTGCATCACCAGGTGAAACTCAAGTGGAATATGCTGAATCAGTACCTTATACAATTGAGTTTATGTGTCAGGTGGAAAAACGTGATCAACATATTGCTTCTGTATCGTCTCCTTCACAGCCAATCAAGATCGATTGTAATAATGAAGACATGTTTCTTGTCACACTTAGCCAACAAGATGCTGCACTTGAGTAAGTCATTTGTCATTTTATACTAGTCGAAAATTATCATAAATCGAGACAAAAAATGCCTTCGTCTTAGTCACATTTACATTGAAATACATGATTTAATTTATCTTTTGTAGTCGAGACATTATTGTTGACGTTGAATTATCTGATATACGAAGCAATACAATTGCTGCCATTGACAATAGCGCTGTTATGGTCTCATTCATACCGAATGAACAAGATTGTCGACGAGACTTAAATAATGCAATGAACGAATTTTTTTTCGTCATTGATTGTAGTGGTTCGATGGAAGGTGATGACAAGATTGGTTTAGCACGCAAAGCAATGTTACTTTTTCTCAAGAGTCTGCCAGTCAATTGTCGTTTCAATATTATTCGTTTTGGATCTCATTTTTCAGCACTTTTTACTGATCAAGTGGCACGAGAGTATAATAAAGAGAATATGAGTCAAGCTGAAACACTGATCAAGGATACGAAAGCCGATCTTGGTGGCACAGAATTGCTTATGCCACTGCAATGGTTAAAGGAGAACAAACCACTTACAAGTGGTGTAAGACAAATCTTTTTATTGACAGATGGAGAAGTTTCCAATGTTACTGAAGTAACAAACCTCTGTCGTGAGATGTCCGAATACACACGCATTTTCTCGTTTGGTTTGGGTCATTCAGTAAGTGACTCATACTTTGGAAATAATTTCATTTACGCTTTTCTTTCATTTCATAGCCAAGTCGTGCCCTTGTTAAAAGTCTAGCTCATGCTACCAATGGCTACTTTAATTTCATTGCGCCACATACAAATGTGGACATCTATGTTGCTGAACAGCTTGCTCGTGCTTTGCAACCAAGTATTACAGATGTGTACGTCAAATGGAATACAAACCAACGTATCCTTCATAAAGTGCCCGAACATGCTCCACCCGTATTTGTCGGAGATCGATTGCTTTTCTATGCTTTGTTCGATGAGACAATGCCATTTGACCATACAACAACTATTGAACTATTTACTGGCATGCAACAAAAACCCATTGGTTTAGCTCGTATAGATCATGTTCCATCAGTACTTAGCTCGCAACTGGTTATGCATTTGGCAGCAAAAGCGTTGCTCCATGAACATTTGAATAATCATGAAACCATAGACAAAGAACTTCTTGTTAATGTTTCAATTAAATATGGTATTCTGTGTCCATATACCGCTTTTATTGGTGTGGAAAGACGGTTGAATGCTAATAGTGAAAGTAATATCGATATGGAACTTCGCGAAGTACCAATTATAATACGTAAGACATGTCGAGAACCAGTCTCACGATTTCATACGGTTTCATCTATGTCTTCTCAACAACGTCAGTCTTTGTTTCGTAAAGTTGATAGTCTTATGCATAAGGCCATGGTATTGGAGCAAGGTGAATGTATCAACAATATAGAATGTTCTATTTCTGTCGTAACCACTGATGCTCGTCCATTGAATAAAGCAGTGCTACGAAAAAAATCTCTCAGACCCCGTATCGGCTCGATTCTGCAGCCTGCCATTCATTTTGTTTCATCTCTATTAACCAAAACACGTGCCAAAAAACTGACTACCTCTTCTGATTCGAAACATGTAACATCTTCTACACGTGATGACATTGATCAATCATTGCATAATTCAAGTTTTTCTAACAGTCAAATATCAAACATGATCTGGCCAACAGACGAACAAAAATTGGTTGATCGCTTTGTTGAATTACAACAATACGATGGTCTATGGATGTTAACAGAGAATGATGTCTATCAGTTGACGGGAAAATCTCTCACTATCTTCTCATCATCAGTGGTCGAAAAACTTGAGAAGAATAGTCAACAATCGATAATAACCACGGCAATCGTGATCATCATACTTGAAACTCGATGTCTTGCTTTGAAAACACTTTGGCAAGCCTTATCGAGCAAAGCATATAAATGTTTGAAAGAATTATTGGATGGAGACGAGTCCAAACTGGAACAATTGATGAAAGATATTCATGATCAACTTCAATGAGCACTAAATGGTAATATTCTAATCACGAATTATTTCTTAATGTCATTATTTTGTAAACGATAGCTATGCTTTATATAAATATATTTAGGGGTGTCGGCTTAGCATTAGTGTTAAGAAAACGCTAACGCTATTGTATTAAAATTAAAAAATTAACTTAATGCTTTTGCATTAGTGTTAAAAAAAATATGCTTTGGCATTAGTGTTAATTTTGTATTAAGAAAATGCTAATACCTATCATGATCGTGCAATTCATTTATATAGTTGTCATTGTAGTTTCACCACCAGCTTTTCTATAGTTGAATTCTCTTTGTAACATTTCTATACAGAGAAAATGTCGTGCATGCACCAGGATGACATACATGTACTTTGATAGTTCTTCAGAAGAAATAAATAATTTTATCAGATATCGATATTGTAAAAAAGAAAATTCAATGTAAGGGTCATTTAGCGAGAATTAATTGTATATCACTTGACTTTCATATGTTAGATGTCAAAATGACTGAATATGGTTCAATGAAACACACAGAAAATCTTGTTTTTTCATTATCATGATTATTATTCTGTAAACGTTTACTTAGTATGTGCTGCTCCTAAGCCTCTCCACAATTATAGAGCACAAAAAGTTCATTTCAATAGGATCACTTCATACCCAGTGAAAAATTTTAGGATTACAATCGATTAAAATTACAAAATCCTGTATGCATAATCAAAATTAAGAACCCGATTATTTTGCACCATAATCGAAATTATAATCAATTATAATCCGATTGATAATCAGCTCTAATCAATTAAAAAGCAGCATTAGTTGACTGATGTTGATTAAAAAATTGATTATAATCGATTATAATTTCGATTTTGGTGCAAAAAAAGATCTGGTTAGAGATTTCGATTAAAATTGATTATAATCTCAATTATTTTACTTCATAATCCGATTTGAAATTTCGGTCATCATCAATTATAACCGACCAGAAAGATTTTAATCAATTACAATGTCCGATCCTCGTGAGTTATTCTCTCCCCTTCCATCCATTGAACACATGAAAACAATCGTTGCTTGCTCGATTTACTTCCAAGTTTCATAAATGCTTGTCTGATGATGTGATTTCACCTCTTACGTTCAATTGATTGTTAATCGAGCTTTCAACAGTTAGGGTCAGGATAGAATTTGAGAAATCTAAATGGAACAGCCTTCGCATGTCGACTCGTAGTTTACTTCTCCATCCTCCATTAGACGAGTGTTAACACTATAAGCTTTGAGTTCCATCAATTGAAATGATCGTTAATAATGTCACACCGTTTATTTCTTCAAGTTTTTAGTTCTAGATTCTCATTGTGGAAAATTCATGGACTTTGTCAAGCTGTTCCGTGTCAAATTCAATTATTCTTTGAAGTTATCTTATGAGTTTGATAAATTTGTACTGTTTAGTAATCTTCTACATGCTCTTGTTAATGCTGAAATCCTTGATCATTTTCTCTCTATGAGCTTATTGAAAAGGCCAATCATGAAACATCCTTTCTGATTCAATAGACCTTCATATCAGTGTGAGGCAAACTGATTATACTGTCGAAATTATTTCAAAGACTACCATTCTTTAAACAATAAACTCTATTATTTCGATACTCGATATCTTTGAGGAACTTCAACCTATAGAAAAACTAATCGTGATAACTTTCCGCCCGAAAGCATTCAAGGCTGAACTGATTGCGAGATGAAGCTTTCTTGATTAATTGTTTTCCATAGATTGAAATTCTTCAAAGATGTCAAGTATTGAAATAATAGAGTTTAATGTTTAAAGAATGGTTGTCTTTGAAATAATTTCCACAGTATAATCAGTTTGTCTCATACTGATACGAAGGATGTGCGTGTGGATGTGGATGTGTGATATCTCTTCATTTACACACACACACATATCCGCCCACACCGACACCCATACCCACAATATCGATATCTGATGAAATTATTTATTCCCTCTGAAGAACTATAAATGTACATGTATGTCATCCTGGTGTATACACGACATTTTCTCTGTATAGAAATGTTACAAAGAGAATTCAACTATAGAGAAGCTGGTGGTGAAACTACAATAACAGCTCTATAAATGAATTGCACGATCATGATAGGCATTAGCAATTTCTTAATACAAAATTAACACTAATGCAAAAGCATTAAGTTAATTTTTTAATTTTAATACAAAAGCATTAAAAAGAGTATTAATTAATGCAATGCTAATGCTAACTGACACCCCTAAATATATTCTCTTTTACTAATTATCTATGTTTCCAAATGATATTCCTCATATTTTAAAGAATTAATTATTTCTCAAATATTTATTCGAGAAAATTTGCACTGTGTATCTTCTATAATTTCATGGTATATTTAACGCAAAACTATTTACATTCACTAATATCAATGAATCAAGAAAACAATTATAGTTATTACATAAATAATAAAATATAATAATAAGAACAGTTAATAACTATTTCCACCAGTTTCGAGTCTTCTGTTATTCTCTTGTCTTTTGATTAGATCAATAGGATGACAGGCATGTTTCTTTGTAATGGTGAATGTGACAAAAGACCACATAAATAAATTTCATCAACACGTGCGTAAAAACTGTCCGAAGGTAGAATCGATTAGTATATGGATAAAGAAAAAGTGATGATCTGTAAGACATTTTCCTTTGTGATATTAGTTGTTGCATTATATACGACTTTAATGAATCGATTATCAAGCTTTTTTGTCGAATAAATTGCTCACTATCACCTATTGGATTTGGACAATATTAAAAAAATATTCTCTATTTTCTTCTTTCTATCTTCATGCATGAATTTTATAATCCTTATTAGTTCAGAAACAAAATGGGAAAAGACGAAATTATGCGTTCTTTCTATTTTGTGTGTTAGTAAAATATTCAAAAAGAAAACGATTGTATCAACGTCAGTCCGTGCGTTCCACTCAAAACTAATTCATTTTTCAATTTAAATGTTTCATAAGTATATGATGTGTCTTCAGCATGTTGCCTCTGATAGCCTTCTTATAGTTTCCATGAAATGTTTAATCATCGATCATCAATATTGCTTTATAAATATTTCATGCTTTTATTATTATTATTCTACTGAAATTCACTAGTTGAATCATTACATTCAATTTTTTATCCATTCCTTTATTTGCTTTTTATTTTTGTGGATTGCTATTTTTGTTATGATACAGCTCTCTTCTTTCAAGTTCTATCAAATTACAGTTATTGTCTTAGAAAAAAATGATAAGAGTTCAGAAAGACTAGAATAATTATATAGAATATGCTCGCCTAATTTTTCTCATTATGAACGATAACATCCTTATTATAAAGAGTTTGCCAATATGTCATATTGATGCAAGAAAAAATTTCTGTCGCCTGCAAAAAAGACAAGCCAAAGTTTTTTTTTTACCTGCATATTAATTTAGTATGGTTGTGTGGATGGAAGTGACAAGAAGATCTACATTCACACATATTCTGCATCGGTCTACATGAATTATAACACAAAATGTATTTTGCTAGAAGGTTCATAATCACAGAAATAGAATCATTCTTAATTGGACCTCAATGAATAGTATTTGGTTATTTGATATGATTATAGTTGGAGTAGAACTATTCGATTGACTTTCTAAAATAAGGCGAAACCTTGTGAATTCTTTTAGTATATTTCCATTTTGCATGATAAAATCGTAATAAAAATGTCTTGGATGCTGATTTACCAATGTCAACTAGCTCAATACTCATGAAACTTCCAAAATCGTTCATTTTCAATGAACTGATCATTAAAAAACAATGTCAAAGTTAGAATTTTATTTGGCAAATTAATAGAAGACACTGATGAAATCCGGTCCGAGATAAAGAAAACTGAATTTGAAAATTCGAAACAAGGAAATTATGAATGTTTCGATGATTTTGAACATATACCGAAAGATAACTATGGCTCTGTCAGATGTGGGTGATGTGGAGGTGTAGAGGGTGTGGATGTCTCTCAATATTTATCACATCCTCACACCTACACCGACCCACACCCACTCTTACACTCGCACCCACACACCCGCACCCGCATTTTCTTGAGAAAAAAATAGTCATTTTGGTTGAAACTTTCAGTTTTCTTTTAAGACTGAGATTTATTTCTGAACAAAATTTGACGTCGACAACTCGATGATTAGACAGTAAATTCGCAAGAAAGACTCGTCGAAGTTCATTCTTCTAAGTCTTTTATAAGTCGACGAAGACTTTTGTTCGGTCAAAGTTTAGTTAAAAATACACTGGAAATTTCCTGAATTTCCCTTGTTAGTCTTGTATGACTCTTTTTCCATCAGATACGTATTACATGCATAATTTTTTAATTTAATGTTCTTTTTATATTGGTTGACAGACATCTGAATCATATATGTTTTCTTTGGTACTTTCTCTTTTAAATTATGACGAAATGGCACCTTCAGTTATGCGCATAATGTGCGTCACACTTGAATTGTCATCTAAACAAGATGGGACTGTAGATATTCGTAATTGCTTTTTTATGCATGGTTAGAAAAGATAAAGGAAGTGATAAAGATGACTTCTGAGCATGACAACATATAAGTAATGTTTTTTGTACCTCGACTATGGAATGTAAAAACATCTATTAGGAAGTAGAACCAACTATGTGGGTGTGGGTAGGTGTGGGTGGGTGTTGGTGTGTGTGAGTATGGGTGTAGTTCAAGAGAAGTCTCACACTCACACCCACACCCACCCCACACCCA